GAAGTTTTGAAGTTATCTTTAATTTATTATTTTATAATAGCACAAGTGTTGCCATAAACAATAATATTTAAAATCCACTATTCAAATTTTTTAATTTTGAATGAGTCCTTAGATGGTTTAAATTCACAGTTAAATCCGGTACGTGGCGCCGTTGTCGAGGTCCAGAAATTACCCCTGCGAAGCCAGGTCGAATCGCTAGTATTTGATAATTTATTTTTCGCGATATCATGATTTAAAGTTTAAATTAAAAAAAAATACGGCGATATTGCACACGATTGAGGGAGGGCGGGAGGTGCTCTACGAACTAGTTAAGACAACATTATATTTTACTATGCGAATCTCAGCTTATTAATTTGTAACATCTTTTATCAAGCTTTAATATTTAGCAATAATTCATTACTTGAATCACTTTTCACATAAATTGTCATCACAGCGTGTCATTTGTTTCGTAATTTTAACTATTAGAATATAACTGTACCGGCAAACGTTGTTCTTCACGTTATGATAGGTGGCATGATAAGTTTCACTCCAAATTCACTCCAGCCTATATGGAGTGTAAATATAAAAAAATATATAACTAAACCACACCGGAAAATTAGTAACTAATAGACCGAGTCCAAGTTACGTGATTTTCTTTTTTGGCACTATACCGACAATTTATACCTTGAATATGTAATTTATTAATAACTTGACTACATCACCACCTGTCGGATCCTAGCATAGCTGTGAACGATGGTTCACAGCTATGTCTCGATACTACAAATACATTTCGTTAATGTGACCTCAATCGGTCGAGTCGTTCAGAAGTTACACGATCATTAAATCACGCACCAACGATTATTAAAAGCTTCATGTTGGGATAGTCCGTATGGATAGAGAATGGGATTAGCAAAGGCGGCTCATCGAGCTCGTACCGTCAACATGTACAGTAACAATAGCAAAAATCCGCGCTTATAACGTTATATTATTCGATTTAAGTATTGAATATATATAGGTATTGTATAAATATAGGTAGATATATTTATTTTAAAATAACACTTATTACTAGAGACCCGCCCTGGCTACGCCTGGATCTATTAATGTGGCGTTACTTAGACTTATAACAATCATTAAAGAAATATTAATCTTATTAATATTTCTATTTTATTAAAATTTCAAAAATTTTCGAATAAAATCTAGTCTAGATTACTACTGGTATTACTTTCTATTTGTTAGTGAAGTTTTATTACACTCATTTAAGTCATCCCGAATACAAAATATTAACAAACAAAATCAACAATAATTATGAAGAAAACTCTCACAACACGATTAGCTCATAAATTAGGGAGACCGGACTGATTTTTTTGTAGTTTATGGAACCATGTTATCCTTAACGTCAGTGACGTGTTGGGCTGAAGTTTATAGCACGTACGAAAAACGCAAATCACAATGTATTTTTTGAAGTGAAAACTTCTTTAGCGGCGTTGTGCACTTTTTTTGTAATGGGTAAAAAATGTTAAACTCGCGTCAGGTCACGTGTCCTGATCGAAAATTCGTAAGACGGACGGAGAGTAGACAGCCGGCGCGGCGTAGTAGTATTATTCAGGTTAGGTTAAGTTTAATTAATTTTCATTTATGAATTAATATAATTTTATTATTAAGATTAGTTTCGATCGAGACTACTGTACTGCTTGACGAAATTATTAATATAGATACATATGTACTTACAGATTATAGATGTAATATTTGTAATATGCTTATACTTTATAGCATTAACCTATATTTTCATAACATCACAATAAGCACATGTGCGGTGTAGGTTTACCAAACAAATAATTTCGAATGAAAATAAATGAAATAACATAATAATAAATAATCTCCGCCGTTCCAAAATATCAAAAATGCACAACGTTAATATTCAAGTTTTCACTTCTGCCGGCACTCCCGGAGTGCAACCCGTCGTTTTTTTTGCAGTTTTTACCGGCGGGTATCAGATTATAATTTGTGCTTTTTGCAAATCATTTTGTTTCTGATGTACAATTGGCAACTGTGGTTTTCGTTATTTTTAACCGACTTCTAGAAAGAAACAGATTCTCAATTCCACTGTATTTTCTTAATGTATGCCACTCGTGAACTTTTTTTTAGATGATCCAATTCGAATCATTCTTTTTTTATTTGAATGTTGGTACTTTTTCTGTGACCCCATATAAATTTGATCAAGATCTAACAAGTAGAATTTGAGATATCCTTAATGATGCGTATTTAATTGACTTGGACTACATTGATGATGTTCTCATTTTATTTATATTGAAGTCGGTTATACAAAATTTTTAATTTACCACTTGTGTCACAATTTTATAATTGTTCGTCACTTTGCTATCTTTAAATTTTCATGCAATTCGATACAGAACAAAGAAACCTATAAAGACTCATTGCATATCATACGTCCTTTCAGTTCACTACGAGTACTCAACAAAATATTATCATCTCAGAGGTTTATTTTTATTATAATAAAGTAAGATATTACATCCTTATTAATTAAATTATTGTGTTTTATTGTTGACTTCTTATTAATTATTCTACATAATCTACAGTTTTCGTTATCTTTAAGTTCAAAAATCCAAATGCCACAAGGCAAATAAAATAGTAATGATGAATTGAATAAATTAAGGTATGTTTATTGCATGTAATATTTATTAGAATCATCATCATCATCATTACAGCCTTTCATAAGTCCACTGCTGAACATAGGCCTCCCCCAAGGAATGCCACAAAGCACGGTCCTGAGCCACCAACATCCATCGACTTCCTGCATGTCTTACCGGGTCGCCACTCCATCTCGTGGGGGGTCGCCCTACACTTCGCCTACCGGTACGAGGCTGCCACTCAAGAACCTTTCTTCCCCATCGGTTGTCGGTTCTTCGATCTATATGGCCGGCCCACTGCCACTTCAGCTCACTAATCCGTTGGGCTATGTCGGTTACTCTGGTTCTACTGCGGATATACTCATTTCTAAGTTTATCACGCAGAAAAACCCCGAGCATAGCCCTCTCCATAGCTCGCTCAGCGACCTTGAGCTTCCTCATATGGCCAGCAGTGAAGAACCACGTTTCAGATTCGTAAGTCATCACTGGCAACACGCACTGGTTGTACAATTTCGTTTTAAGGTTTTGAGGTATGTCTGACGAGAAGATGTGTCGTAGTTTCCCTAACGCTGCCCAGCCGAGTTGAATCCGTCGATTGACCGAGAGGTCAACTCGTCAGGACTGTTGAAGAATGTAGTTTCATCTCCCGTCTAACAGTCATGAGATTGAAAGTGTGATCGTAGAGTTTTTGTGTTCTTCTGCGGCGGTTCTTGCAGAACTTAGCTCCGACCACATGGACAGTTTCCACGAGCTTGTCATTCATATCGTCCACTTCATTGCAGTCTTCTAGGCACTGAAAACGGTTTTGTAACTCGAGCTGGAAGGTTTCGGGACTTTGGTACAGAGCACGAGGGGGACGGAGCGTTGACTTCATTAGACGAGACCTCTCCAACTTAACGTTTAGGTTCAGTGTGCCTCTAACCATTCGGTGATCGCTACCAGTTTTCATCCTCGCGATCACGGAGTCATCACTGAACAGTTGTCGTCTGGTGGTCATAATGAAGTCAATCTCATTTTTTGTCTAACCGTCGGGGCTCGACCAGGTCTATTTCTTGTGGGGCCGCTTCTGGAAGAAAGAGTTCATCATAAAGAGTCCCTCTTTCTCCATGGAGTCGGCCAGCTGCTGGCTCCTTGGGTTCCGTTGCCCTATTCCAAATTTCCCTACTTTCAGATCACCGTTCTCTCTTGTGCCTAGTTTTGCATTGAAGTCTCCCATTAACACCGTATATTGGGTTTTGGAGGAATGCATGGCTCTAGAGATATCCTCATACATTTCCATCACCTCCTCATCGGGGTGTGCCGAGGTTGGTGCGTAAACCTGTATGACCTTCAGCGAATACCGTTTGGTGATTCTGAGTATAAGGTACGCAACCCTCGTCGACACACTCTCAATCTTTTTTACAACGTTGTTAACGAGAGACTTGTGGACGATAAATCCGACACCTCCTTGGGACAGATGGTCGCCCTCCCGATGATAGAGCAAGTTGCCTGATTCGAGGATTACCGTGTCCTCCCCCTCTCTTCGGACTTCGGATAATCCTATAATATGCTAGCGTAACTTGTCTATCTCTTCTTCCAGCTCCACGATCTTCTCGTCAGTCTTCAGGGTGCGTGCGTTGTATGTTGCCAGGTCGAGTCGTCTTAGGTGGCAATCGAACCTCCACCGGAGATTCTTAGCACCCCCTGCTCCGCCGTTACCATGGTCGCCACCATAGCTAGGAATAGCGGGGCCGCCGGGGACTGGGGGCCGTGTCTTTGTTGCTCTAATGATTGGGGGTATTCGCAATAGTTGCCACGCTTGGCGAGCGGGTTGGCAACCGCAGTTTTTTCTATTGTACTTTTGCTGTTATCAGGAAGATGCTGCTGCCCATCTCCTGCCTGTTTCCCTTTGTCGCCTTTTACGACACCCACGGGAATATATGGGGTAGTGGATATTCTTAACCGCCACTACACGGCAATTATTAGAATATTTTAGTTAAAATTGAGAATAAACTCTACAAATAATATCAATAGCTTTCAGAATTTTTGGATTTGAATCCCATATTATTTATTATGTTGTTTAAAATTACTTGTATGCTAGAGGGAGATATTAAATTCTAAGTATTTATTTTGCCTCTGGTATCGTAGCCGTAAGTTATTCTATTTTTTCAATAAGCCTTACTTTCACCTTTTTTAATTCATACAAATATCTCCTCTCCAAAACTTCTTGTCACTATTTAACTATGTTGGGTGGCTAATAAGATAAACAATTTGAAAAGTGTTAAACTCATCAATAATGTTTTTTATTACTCTCTCACTCATTTTTTAACTCAGTTGCGTTTTCTAACTTTCCATTATTTATTTAATAACATAACATTGCTTGATGTTCATTTTCAGACACGTAGATACAGGTGTGCTCAATGAAAAATCGCAGGCACCGATACACTTGGCGACCGAATTGAATAAGGTAAGCTTGTCACGTTCCCCTATTTTAATATTAATGCAAAAATATTGCAATTCATGCCAAAAACTCTATTAATCGCTTCAGGGAATAGTAATGGGATATTTATAAGAAATCTGTACAGCTATAAATAAATAATTTTTTAAATTATCTGTCTGTAATATCGAAATATACTCCTTTTATTTATTTCAGAGGGTTATTTGCATGTCATTAGGAATAAAAATTATATCTGTGTGTTTTTCTTTCTTTTCGAGCATAAGCTCGGAATCCTGCGACATATATACGAAGATAACTTCGTACATATGTCGCAGGATTATGATCAAATCAGATGTTTAATCAAAAACCTAGGCTTTTGATCAAGACCGGAAGAAGACAAAATTATTACTTAATCTTATCATTAGCCTGAACAAATCTAGTTTTTTGACCAAAAACCTGACCTTGTTTAGATTAGGTTAGGTAAGATTTTATCAGAAAACTAAATCGTGGTTTAGTCAGTGCGAGTTCGACATAACCCGTCCTTGCGTAGGCGTTTCCTGAACGAATAAATAAATGAAAAATAAGTATAGAGAACTATCTAAAGGAAACTAAAGCTAAATTAGCTGGTTTTTAATATTTTTGTATGTCCGACTATCTATATATTTATATATTAACGATTCACGTCAGAACAACAAAACTGATTCTCATAAAATTTTATGTAGGTGGTGAGTCAACGTAGGAAACGTATAGACTAATTATTATTACATTATGGTGCAGCAAAAGCATGTTATGTTTTTCCATTCTTTAGAAGTTAATTTTTATAGTGGCTGCTAATTGTTCATAGGGCGAATAAAATTGTTATACTAATTACTTATAAATTGCTATAAATATGGTGAATGAAATTATTTCAATAGTGTTACAATTTTAATAGATTATAGAACTATCTATCAAAGATGTAAAAATTGAGATGATTTTTAGTTTAATTACTAATCTATAAAGAAAATTATAAATTTATAATGATCTTCACGCCTTTATTGCTAAATTCTCAGTATTATTACAACTGAAAACATGCTTTTACATGTTGTATACTTTTACAATTTTGGTGCACCATTTGTTTTTTTGTACAAACGTGCACACACTCTGTCTCATGATAAGTCGATGCTGTGGCAAACAAACAACTACATCTATGCTCGATTAAGAATCAAAGTGTAGATACGTTGAACCTTGAGGACTAAGATAGAATGCTTCGTTATTAGTAAAAAAGGCGTCCAATTCTCTACATTCACTACACAAAACACAGCGGCATTAAGCTGCTAACGCACGCTTATATTCTGTGAGAGCGTGGTCCTACCCTGGTCGAGTCGATGCATATTGGCTATACCATGATAAATAAATTATCAAAAGTAAAATAATTTGTGCTACATAATAGGTATAACTATATCAAAAATATTCAGACCTAAAACAACCAAACCGGTAACTATAACTAGATTGTTAAATAAAAATATCAAAGACACAAATGCCGCTTACACAAAATTGTGATAGGGAGAAGTATTTGAGTGAAATATGTTAGTTGTCTGCTGGCTTGGTAATAATGAGTGAAATGTAAGGAAAATTCGATAAGAAAGTTCGTGACATTGTTTAATAAGGAATTACGAATTGTACTTAAATTTATTTCTTTCTTTATATTTTTAATTAGCCTGTAATGCGGTCCAAGAATTCGTTTTTGTTTTCCAGCCTAGTTGTATTATACAGACACTTGAACACTGTTTAGAGCCGAGAATCAAGTTATTACTATACTCTTTCGTCATCATCACCTTTACAACCCTTCGCAAATACACTGTTGAATATTTTTTGCTAGGATACAAACATTTCTACTCTGATATACCGACACCTAATTAGGCACCACTGAAAGCACTGTTGCACCGGCCAAATTTCAACGGTACGTTTCCATAAGTGGCAAATTCTATTCATCAGAGTTCTGTACTATTTGCCGAAGGGTATATCTGTGGTTTATGGTACAACAGCCTTTTCTAAAACCGGCTTGTTTGAGAGGCTGGGATTGGTCAATTTTGCGTGCGAAACAATTGACGAATGACGACGATATTGATGCGACTCCGAAGGGAAATCATTCTGTAGTTTTTCAAGAGGGCTTTCTCATAGGGTTTGGGAAGTCTCGACAGACTCAAAGTACCAAGACAGGAGATCAAAGTCATTGGAATTAACGGGACTTCGAACTTTTTCAAAATAAATTTAGAACCGAAAATTCAGGTTTGGCGAGATGTATCAATAAAAGAGCAATTTTAGTAAAAATCAACATTTATTTAACACATAATCAAATCCTACCATTTATAACGTTAATTAAAGTGTAAATCATTCGTAAGTTATTATAAAACTCATAATAAGTAGTCATTAATAATCATCATCTAGTCCCTACCCACTGGTCATATGAATAATATTATAAAGTAGCAAATAATGTCTTTCTTGATTTAATAAAATAGTTTTTTTTTTTAAATAATTAGATTTGTCCGACAATCTCTTTCTGATTTTTGTAATAAGCCACCGGACAAGGGGAACACTCTCTTGTTTACAACAGATGTCGGTTTTATTGTGTTGAAAAGTTTTTAAAGTAGTTCCCAACTTTCCATTTGCTTCAAATAGGATAGCAACTCCTTTTTGTGTTCTTACTCGGTTACGTACGAGTATCAAGTAATAATAGCGTCCTCAATGACAGAAGGCAGAAAGTATAGCGTTTTCAAAATAAAATTATTACAATATTATTTCCCGAGAAAGACCGCGATCCAAGAAAATTTATTTAGATAAATTCCCGGGACTTCGAGACTAAACACTTGCGGATTAGAGCCATCATGAAAGACCGAATTGAACAGATTTTTGTAGGACTTGGCGTATCAGTTCTTCACCCGCTTTCACAAGCTTTGCTCTATTTTCATCCTCACTCGGAATCTTACCGTTTTTAATGTTGTTGGAGAGCCATTCCTATCTTGCTCAGATTGATGTCTGGGCTATTACCGAAATAATGTCGCATGGGTTTTGCTCTGGGGTCGTTACTTATAAACTATTGAAGTTATTACGTTTATGAACATTATTTGAAAGTAGCTAAACTCCCGTCTTGAATTTCAAAGTACGTGACTCAACCGTGTTCAATCTGCGCGACACGAATGAGGTTTTTAATTGCAATTGTAAGTGCTAGTTTAACACGTGCACTAGGGTGAAAAAAAAACCTGAGGAAACCTATATGTCTAATAAATAAAATATATCGAAGACACGTTGTATTGTTCCCAGTGTGTATTAAACTGAATCAGCGCGACCGACTAGTTTCTTTTTCTATGACTTTTCATTTTTCTCTACAACTTTCTCAGAAAGCCTCCTCAGTCAGTGGAATATTTTTGTAGGTCGTAGAATTCCTTTTCTGCCTAGAATTCCATCTGGGCAGCTACAAGTGCTTGAATGTAGAGATGTAGTATGTAGAGATAAAGAAATATCATAGTCAATTCAAGGCATTCCATCTTGGTAATTACAGATGATAATGCATCTCTAATTTTTCTTGTTTGATGTGGATTGTAGTTATGCAGTGCGCATGCCATCGGATGGACTTTGAGTTCGATATCACATCAGTTTTATAAAAAACTAGATATTAACTGCGCCTTTACGTTGAAATTAAGCGATAAAGTCTGCAGATCTATTAGAATTCCTTAATTTACTGGGGTAGATATAATTCTGCTTAAAAATATAAAATTGAAACTAATCTTCGGTCAACCTACATTATAAATTAAAGAAATCATTTCATTCGTAGTTAACAATTGGAACTGATATATATATATATATATATATATATATATATATATATATATATATATATCTTTATCTAACGGATGTCTACTGATCATAGATTATTATTTTTAAATTTGACACTACTGATAGGTAGTCTCAATGAATCGAAGCATGTTTCCGAAGTTATTGGGAGTAATTGATATCAATTAATACCATAGTGATCTTACATTGGATAAGTATTAAAAGTAGTTAAACGTGGTATAGGCCATGTATACGTCGTAGAGATACACTGCTATATTATAGTTGCAGCACGAATGAGTCGGCTTGACCGGTGTAGGATCACGCTCTCATAGAATACCATCCTAAAATAGCAGCGTAATGCTGCTGTGTTTCATATAGTGAGTGTAGAGAACCGGAGACCCTCTTCACAGGAAGCGAGGCATTCCATTGTAGTCGTCACGGCTGACATCGCGTCTGCATTTTGATTCGTGATCGAGGATAGATGTAAATGTTTATGGACCGCAGCATTTATTTACCATCAGCTGGACTGGGTGCTGGTTTGTTACCTTATTCTATAAAAAAAGTATTTTTTTTTACGATTATCTCATATATTGTGTGTTAAAATAAAACTGATGATGTATTAATTTAACGAAAAAAGTCATATCAATTTATATTTTAACACAAAATGTTTATAATCACTAAGTTTTACTGTAACAGTAATAGTTTTGTAGTAAAATGATTTTGAAGTTTTTACGTGGTAGAGCCTTGCTGCAGCTATATTAATAGTATAGCACGAATGGGTCGGCTCGACCTGGGAAGGACCACGCTCTCACAGAATACCAGCATAAAATAGCAGCTTAATGCTGCTGTATTTCGTATGGTGAGTGTAGAGAACCGGAGACACATTTTACTGGAAAAAAGACTTTCTATCTTAGTCCTCACGGCTCACAACGCATCTGTATTTTAATACGCAAACGAAGATAGATGTATATGTCTATGGGCCACAGCAACCATTTACCATCAGGTGGACTGTGTGCCCTTATTCTATAAAAAAAGGAAATAATGGCAAATATATATTATGCATCAACACCATAAGAGCTTTTTAATTGGATTTCCTTTTCTGTAAAATTGCCATGCAAAAAAGTCTGAAACTTATTTTATATCTATTATCAGCTCATATCACTTAACGCATTTATATTATCAGCATTTCGATTTCACAAGAAAAGTCCTTTTGTTTTCCG